CCCCAAAACCCCAAAACCCCAAAACCCCTTTTTAAAGCTCAAAATTGAGCCTAAATAATTTAAATTTGCGGAATCATCATTATGTCCTCTAAAGAGAAATATCCAATTGAAAAAGTATCCTTTGAATGGGTAGAAGAATGCAATGATAGGAAAGAAATCAAGAAAGCTTATGAAGCTATCAAAGATGAGGGTGGCTATTACGACCTCGAGATGTCCCTCAAGAACAAGTTAGCTAAACTAGACCCTTCCTTTAGGAGAAGAATCAATGAAAAGCCTATGTCAAAAGAAGAAAAGGAGAATATAGCAAATGACCTTGACGCCTTTCTACATTCTGCAAACACCGATGACCAGTCTTTGTTAGGGAAGAACGCCCAAAACATTTTCGAGAATCCAAAAGAAGAAGCAGCTAAAAGAATAGGTAAAAGAAAGCAGGCTGAGAATGAACGAATGAAAGGAAATGACTTCATGGGTTCAAAGGAATACGACAAAGCTATTGAAAGCTATGATAAGTCCATTAGTCTTGATGCAAATGAACCCAGTACCTATTCCAACAGATCTTTGGCTTATTTAAAGAAGAAAATGTTTTCTAAAGCTATCGAGGATGCCAACAAGGCTCTTGAACTAGATCCAGATTACATCAAAGCGTACTTTAGAAGAGGCAAAGCATATGAAGGGCTTACCAATTTTGAGGCAGCTATCAAGGACTACGAATACATCCATGAGAAGGAACCCAAGAACAAAAAGATAAAGAAAGAACTACTCTCATTAAGGAGTGCTTATAAAGAGCACTCTGATAAGAAAACGACTAAAAAATTCCAGAAAATTAAGATAGTTGAGGAAGAAAGCAGTACTAAGATCGAAGAGATTACTGAGAAAAAGCCAGCCCCAGTTTCTTCACAACCAAAGAGTGAAGAACCTGTGATCCAAGATGAGGCCAAGGAGGAGAAGCCAGTTGTTCAAGAGGAGACTAAGGTTGTCGAGCCTAAGACAGAGCCTAAAGTAGAACCAGTAGTGCAAGAAGAGACTAAGACCGAGCCAAAACCATCAAAAGATGAAAGCAAATTCGTAAAAGTTGCTATTGAGGAAGAATCCTCTGAGGATGAGGAAGAACTCCAAGAAGCTCAAAAGTCAGATGTGAAGGAACAGATATCTAAAAATGCAAAGAATCTCTTAGCAACTGAGAAATTCTCTGAAGATTTTGAGGAAAGCCTCGAAGCAGATGCTAAGGCTGAATTTGAAGCTGAGCAGAACAAGAAAGAGGAGAAGCCACAATCCACTAAGAAAGAACAACTAGAAGAAACAAAGGGTGAGGAAGATCATGTAGAAGAGATCAAAGAGCCAGAGATTACAGAGGAAGAGAAGCTAGAGCTTGAACTATTAGAAAGAATCGATGATGAGCTTGCAGAGTATAAAAATAGAGCTAAAGAAGAGCATTCAAAAGGAATGTTTGATATAGCTATTTCTATCTATGAGGAAGCTCTAGTTTTCTTAGACTCACAAGAGAGCCAATTTAAATACCAAATCAGTGCTCTCATTGCTAAGAAATGTGCACTTTGGAACAACATTGCTGCTTGCTATAAGCAATATCAGAATGATGACAAAGAGATAGAATATTCGAGTCTGGTCATTGCAAATGCAGAACATCTGAAATCTGATCCGAATATTCTCTATAAAGCCTATTACAGAAGAGGTTGTGCATATGATAAAGCTGAGAAGTACCAAAAAGCTAAGATAGATATCCAATATTGAAGGGAGAAGCGTCCATTTGATACTGAAATCTCCAAGAGAATGAACCACATCAATGAGGCTCTGAAACACGCTGAAGAAGAGAAAAAGACTAGAAGTATGATGTCAAGTAGCAAGCTTAGATCTACGCTAGAAGAGATCAAGACAGAAGGAAATAAAGCATTTTCATCTCAGAAACTTGGTAAATACTATTGTAATCATAAATAGATGAGGCCATTGAGTCCTTCACCAAAGGAATAGAGGTATATAAGGACAATCAGGAGGTAGTTAAGCTAGAGAAATGCACAGATCTCACTAAAATTGCGATAAGCTTATTCACAAACAGAGCTCTTTGTTACTCTAAACAAAGAAGAGACGCAAATGTCATTGCAGATACCACCTATGTGATTGAAAATTTAAGCAGAAAGAATGTCAAGGCTTATTACAGAAGAGCTCTGGCTTATAAGAACTTTGGACAGTACAAGGATTCACTTTCAGATTTAAATAAGATTCTAGAATTTGAAAGTAACAATAAGGATGCAAGGAAAGAGCAAAAAGTTGTCAAAGAGCTTTATGAGAAGGAACTCAAGAAACAGATGGAGAAGCAGATGAAGAAACAAATGGGAGAAATGGAGGGAAAGAAAAAGAAAGAAGAAAAGAAAGCAACATCAAAGACTAAAGTAGAGGAAGTAAAATCAACCGGTGTAAAAGTGAAAGAGATCTCTCCTGAAGAAGCTCAAGCAGCTAAATCTAAAACTTCTGAACCTGTTCAGCCAAAGAAGAAGGTTAAGATTGATGATGAAGTTATCAACAAAGCTGCAGAGTTAGCTTCAAAGACTATTGGAAAAGACAAAGTTAGAATTCCAAATACTACATATGGATTTGAATCTGACTTGAATTCTTTAAAGAAGGATCCTGAGAATCTGTACAACTATATTTCTCAGATTCCTCCTTCTGTATTCTCAAAGTTATACAAAGATTGTGATATCAACCCAGATTATTTGGTGCTAATCCTCAATAGTGTGACTACTTATGAGAAGAATGCAGACAAGATCCTGGAATTATTGTACAACTTCTCCAAGACATCTAATTTCTCAATGACTGTGATGTTCTTCACAGATGAAGATAGGTCCTTGTACTCAGAACTTGTGACTAAGGCTGAAGAAGCAACAATTAGCTCAGCCTCTGAAATGTTAGCAGCAGTAAAAGCGGTACTTGAGTAGAGAATATGACTAAATAATTTCAAAAAATATTTAATATTCAGGGGTTTTGGGGTTTTGGGGTTTTGGGGTTTTGGGGG